TTCTATGCAATCGTAAGTTATGATAAATTTTGTAATATATTTGTATACACACATAAAAAAACTGTCATCTCCTTTGGCACATGCCGTTACTTCATAACTGCATTTTAAAAAAACTTTTAATTATTAGTAAATAATTAACAGATATGTGATTACAGCAATTCTCTTAAAAATTAATTGATAAAAGTTTTAAATGCGAGAGCAACAATATTCTTATATGTACAAATACGTATATATATATTTGCATCCTTTCTATTTTGCGAAGAAAACTGCATATAAATATTAATATAAATTACTTTATATAACAATATTGATTAGAATTACGATTGTTATTGTATACTTTTACAAATAGCGCACGTGACTATTTGATAATTTTTTAATTACGTTAATCGTTAACGACTCATTAGAGAACGTTACAATTTACAATAAAAGTTTCCTCAATAATTTATATAATTCGACAAAGTATTATAGTTTCTTCAAATGTTTAATTTATGTAATGGCTTAAAATAGCCATTTCCAGAAGATCCTAAATATTCTGGCCAGCTCTGATGTATAGAAATATTTTTGCATGTTTGATTAGGTAGCATATCCTCCGGACATACGCATTCTAGTTTCATCCTGTATATTGTCATTTGACCAAACGCGATTTTGGTATTTTCCCTATCCATTGCCTCTTGATATAATCTGTAATTAATGCCTCGCTCGGATAAACATTCGCTGATGATGTCGTCATCTTTTTTGTACTCAAGTTTATCCTCTAATAATGCTTTCTTCTTATCAATGCACTCCACATCTGCTCGAGACAAGATCAAAGACACTTCAGACGATGGTAACCAGAACGTAGGAAACACTAAATCTATCGATGTCTTTCCTTTGGATTCGATAATAGACGGCAGCAGAATACCGGTTGGTGCCTGCTTCTGAATACCATTGATACTGTTTGACTGATTGTCGTTAATTTCCGAGTTTCGTTTTGTTCTTCGTTTCTGTCGTATTTTAACAACTCTATCAGTTGTCGACAATATTAGTAATTGCTTCTTATTAATCTTGCCTTTACTTTGATTTTTCAGTGATTCCCGTTTAAATACTTTTTCTATACTAGCATCATCATCCGCGTCTTGGACAATATTAGGAAAACTATGCTTATAAATGTGTCTTCGTTGAGGTATGTCTACGACTTTTTTAGTAGTGAAAGTTGTATCTGGATGACCAGTGATTATTTGATTTTTAGTAACATTTGATGCTTCAGTACGTGTGTCCTCCGGCAATTCCATACTCATATTTGTGCTCTTTATTTCTATTAATTCGCTCGTCTTTAATATATTCTGTATTGTAGTACTCTTTTCGATATTTGATTTATTGTTTGACATAATTAATGGTAACTCTGGAAATTGCGAAGTTGACGTCATTGATATATTCATTATATCATCAGCTTCGTTCATTGAGCTATTCTTTTTGTTAATTTCTTCCATTTTCTTCCTTTTTTCTATGTTAATTTCTTCATGATCCAGTCGTAAATTGTGTCGCGTCGATTCAGGTGTTGAATTAATTTCTTTATGAGAAATATTTATCGAATATATATCTTTAATCACAGGAACAACACTTCTCTGTTCTCGCACTTCATCTTGTGAATAATCTACACTCTGATCGTCTTCATTGTTACCGTTATCATTTTCGTATATACTATCATACTCTTTATCTGGCTGTACATCATCCTCCATCCATTTGTTATCCTGTTTCCACGCTTGATCTACATTCAAATTCTCTACAGTGTCTTCAGGATTATGTTTCTTATGGCTCTTGAATTCGTCAAAGTTCTCATATACCGCGTCCGAATCGTATTTGCCAATCTCGAGTAGACTATCTTTGTGTTTAAAAATGTTATCTTTCCGATGATTTTTATGAACTTTTGGCGATCTCTCGGAAACGAGCGGTATGTTTGAATAAGTATCCGTGACTTTTAATCGCGAATGGGACTTCAGATTCTTCTCCTCTTCTTTTCGTAGATCGACTGAATTATTGAACTCTACCGACTTCCAATCCTCCGAGAAGTATAATGACAATCCAGGCGGGCCGACATGTTGACTTAAAGCCAGTAATCTCATAGTAAGCGTCGAATTGAATCTCAGGGAGCAGAGATCAGTACGAGTTTGCGACATGAAACTCTGACCTTTTAAGAACTGATATTTTTCCTTGATTCCCTCGTAATTTAAACAGTCGGTAGACCAATGTAAAAACCAATCGTTACCAAACCCATCGACAGTGACCGACAATCCAGACATTTGCCCACTTAAACTATCTTCCATCGATTTCTCGAGCAAAGGCTGGCCATTACGACCATCTATAACTGTAGCTACGGTGTAATAGTATGTAGATAAGCCAGTACCTATCTGATGCTTCACCATAAAATCTGGTATATCGTCGTCGTTATAATAACCGGGAATGGGAATGCTAATTACTTCGGAATTGGGAACCGTGTAATTCCAGATAGGCTCAAATGTAGTTCCATTGTATGCTATAATCGTAGAATTGAACATAGCAGCGACAATATCTTCAATTCCATCCGATGTAATATCGATTAAAATCGGTGGCAATAGTGCATTTTTGCCAGTGTTATGATTGAGCTTTTGCAATTGCTGCAACAAAAGTATTCAAAGTAGCAATTAACACGATAATCTTTTCATATTAATAAAAAAAATCTAACAGATCTTGTTATGACTACATACCAAATCACCATAAAATATATTAGCTTGGGACACTATATATAATCCTCCGGAATCTTGCTGACTGGTTGTAGCTAGAACGAATATATTTTCTCCATCAGGGTGCACTATAATTTGCGGTGCTACGAACAATTGCTCTGTATCTGGTAAATTCATATTGCGTATGACACTGCCACTTTTACCCGATATTACGAGTACATTACTTGCTTGAATATTGTCTGATTGTACAACATGCGATGCTATTACATCAGCAATACCGTCGCCATCCATATCAGCTATAAGTCTTGCATCATAGACATCCAAAATTATTTGCAGCTCAGAAATTAGATCTTGAAGTGGTATCTCCCATATATTAGAACCATCATGGCCATCAATAGCTTGTAGTATTCCACCACGTCCAGATATGATACAATCCTTAACTTTGTCGTTTGTCAAGTCTGCATCGCAGTCAACAGAAAGTATGGAATGGGCAGTCCAATGTGTCCAGATAGGTTCACCCGTTTTACCATTCAGTGCTAGTACACCGCCTAGACACGGCGTTTGATTCCCAAAATATATAGTACAAATATATTCTGTATCCATCATATCCAGACCTGAATTTATAAATCAATAACTTTACAGTAACTTAAATTAATAACCTAATCAGAAAAAAACATTAATAATTCACCTTAGATTGTAAAGAAACATCATGTAAATGTCAAACCAAAATCTGTAAAAGAAGCAAATAAAATAGAAGTAGCCAATTACAAATCACAATGCAACATATATAACACAGGAAATTATAATATATATAAAAAAAGTGAAACAAAATTAAAATAATAATCACAAAAAACATTCATTTATTTAAATTAAACATAATACTTTTTATACCTGTACTAAATCCCACAATAATATCTTCAATTCCATCAGAGTTAACATCATTACTCCTAAGAGGTGCTTCAGGTGTTAACTTTGGAAATGATCTCGCCCATAAAACACTGGACGAGAGTGATGTACATGGAATTATCTCTGATTCATTTACAGGATTTTTTAGATCGTGTGACATCCAGCTTTTCAGTATAGTTAACGGCATTGGGAATATATTTGCAGTAAATATACAAACTACAATTAAGCCTAACAGCACAATCAATGCTGTAGTTCCACAGCACACTGGCACGAGAAGCATGTTATATGGGATCTTATGGTTTTCCAAGTTGCAGGACTTTTTGCATTTTCTACGAGGTGCCATGAGAGGCTGTTTCACTCCGCCATCGTCATCTAATTTCAATCCACCGTTTCTCCCATCCCTAATAAATACTTCATCATCGATGTCGGTAAGATCATCGTCGTCGAGGTTGTCTCTCACTGCCAGTTTCGGTAAAGTCGGATATACCGCTGACATGTTGTCAACACCTGCAAAAATACACTCAGAAAATTAGACGAGAGAATTTTATATCTGTGAATTTGACGATTACGAATCGAGCAATGGGCAAAAATTAAAATATTCGCAAAATTTTACGGAATTAGAAACATATGTACCTGAGAATACTTTATTCTTTAAACGCACGCAAAATTTCAACTTTTCCTGATTCTCGTACCTGTACGCTCACCAGGCTCACTTACGCTTTCAAAGAGATGTCATATGTACTCTGACGCCTATAGCGATTAAAAAATGTGTACAAATAAAACATACTTGCACATACACATCAACACAATATTTATGCAGAAAGAAGCTCGAAAAGCCTCAAAGCGGCCATCTCAGCATTCGCGGCTTTTTTCGTGGTACCATCGAAACCATATCATAGGCATAAGAAGTCTGTTCACGTTGAACGAAATCCCCAAATATTTTTGCACTTAAAATGAGATAGATATGTATTTGGCCTTGAAAAGAGAGAAAGCGAAGATGCTGAGTGCAAAAAGTGCAAGCAACGCGAACAGACCTAAGATAACAGACCCAAGGGCTGATATTCATAGTCCATTCTTATTTCAAGATAGTCCTAAGTAGTATCTTAAGACGCTAATACGGCCCTCTAATTGGTTCGTGACTTCTTAAGATATGGTCTTAAATATAAAACTGACTATGAATACCAGTCTTTTAATACAATTGATTTATAAAACTTGGATATTGACGAGCGATATCCAATGAAAGCTCTGCTTTTTTTTACGTGACGATGTAAAGCAAAGCTCTTATTGGATATCGCTTATCGCGTCCAGTGTGCACTGTACAGTAGCCAGTTGAGCCAGTAGGCATTAAGCATTTCATATTTTATTTGCTCAGTCGGCGCCATCAGCGTCAGCGGTGATCAGTGGTTGGTGTCGTGTACGATAGTGATAGATAGTGTAGTCAAGTGTGGTTGAGTTGAGTGTTTTACGGTGCCGGTGACGGTGCGTGTTGGTTAAAGTCGACGGTGAGACGTCGCCAGAATGGGTCCCGTATTTTATGTCATCTACGTCGCATTGTTGTCCACGTACGCGAGCGCGAGCACAGACACGAATACGCGGCGAACGAAAGTCAGCCTGGTGGAACAACTGAACGAGGATAACTGGAATCTTATGCTTACTGGAGAGTGGATGATTGAGTTGTAAGTGCGACCGTGCACGTCGACATCGTTGTGGTTGATGTCGTGTCAAAAATTGCCCGAATTTGTTCTTAACGATTGTCATTAAACAGGTTATACAGGATTAAAAGGCTTTAAATAATTTTAAGGATTTAAAATGATATAACTTGTTATAAAAGAAAGAATATAAATATTAAATTTATTTTAATAAAAATAATTAAAATTTGCAAATGTAACATGAAGAAAATGAAATTGTTTGACGTTTTTGTGTAAAATAGCAATTGCTACAATAATCGAGACAAAAATTAATAGCTAATGGTAAATTCAAATGTAATGTATTTTTTGTATTTGAACGTACTTTACAGAAAAAGCTGAATTATTTTTACTTATCAAAATCTTTGTTATCTATATAATCACTGCATAGGTTTAATAGACCCACTGTCAGCTCTAAAAGGATATACTTGAATGAATTCAATAGATAATAGAAGTATTCTTGTGAAGAATATGTAGAATATAAAGTCATATAGTTAGATTTTCTCTTATCAATATATGTGTATATTTTGTAGTTGATAGCATTGCTGAAAGTTTATATATTTAAGTTTTACAATTATATATTATATATATATATATATATATATGTCTTAAAATCTGAAAAATAATATC